TATTAATCCCTCTAATATATTTAAAGATAGCAATCATATCCCCTCTCAGCCTTCGCTTTGTCAGACTAAACAACTAAAATCTAGTCTCACCTCCTGTATAACACAGGCCATAAAATTTCCCCAAAGTAATTGCTAGAGCAAATCTTTTAGAAAAGTATCCAGTCCATACTGGGTCAGGCCAAAGATACATCTAAGCCCAGTATCATGTCTTCTGATAGTAGCCAATGCCAGGTGCCCCAGGGGAATGAACAGAACGGGTAATCATCAAGAGCTCCACCCCCTGTTGCCCACTCCCAGCTTCAGGCAAACAGAGGCTAGGGACACCATCTCTGCCCATCCTGGCTAATAGCCATTGATGGACCTATCCCCCATAAACTTATCTAGTTCTTTTTTGAAGCCTGTTATAGTCTTGGCCTTCACAACATCCTCTGGCAAGGAGTTCCACAGATTGACTGTGCATTGTATGAAAAAATATATCCTTTTGTTTGTTTTTAACCTGCTGCCTATTAATTTCATTTGGTGACCCCTTTTTCTTGTGTTATGAGAAGGAGTTAATAACACTTCCTTATTTATTTTCTCCACACCAGTCATGCTTTTATAGGCCTCTATCATGTCCCCCTTAGTTGTCTCTTTTCCAAGCTGAAAAGTCCCAGTCTTATTAATCTCTCCTCATACGGCAGCCGCTCCGTACCCTAATAATTTTTGTTTCCCTTTTTTGAACTTTTTCCAGTTCCAATATATCTTTTTTGAGATGGAATGACCACATCTGCACGCAGTATTCAAGATGAGGGCGTACCATGGATATATATATATAAAGGCAAAATGATATTTTCTGTCTTCTTATCTATCCCTTTCTTAATGATTCCCAACATTCTGTTTGCTTTTTTGACTGCTGCTGCACATTCAGTAGATATTTTCAGAGAACTATTCACATTGACTTCAAGATCTTTCTTGAGTGGTACCACTAATTTAGACCCCATCATTTTATATGTATAGTTGAGATTATGTTTTCCAATGTGGGGGGAGGGATAGCTCAGTGGTTTGAGCTTTGGCCTACTAAACCCAGGGTTGTGAGCTCAATCCTTGAGGGAGCAATTTGGGGATTGGCCCTGCTTTGAGCAGGGGGTTGGACTAGATGACCTTCTGAGGTCCCTTCCAATCCTAATAATCTATGATTACTTTGCATTTATCAACATTGTATTTCATCTGCCATTTTGTTGCCCAGTCACCCAGTTTTGTGAGATCCTTTTTGTAGCTCTTCACAGTCTGCTTGGGACTTAACTATCTTGAATAGTTTTGAATCATCTGCAAATTTTGCCACCTCACTGTTTACCCCTTTTCCCAGATCATTTATGGATATGCTGAATAGGACTGGTCTCAATACAGACCCTTGGGGGACACCACTATTTACCTCTCTCCATTCTGAAAACTGTCCATTTATTCCTACCCTTTGTTTCCTAACTTTTAACCAGTTATCAATCTATGAGAGGACCTTCCCTCTTCTCCCATGACAGCTTATTTTGCTTAAGAGCCTGTGGTGAGGGACTTTGTCAAAGACTTTCTGAAAATCTAAGTACACTATTCACCCTATCCCCCTTGTCCACATGTTTGTTGACCCACCTCAAAGAATTCTAGTAGATTGGTGAGCATGATTTCCCTTTGCAAAAAACATTTTGACTCTTTCCCAATAAATTATGTTCATCTTTGTGTCTGACAGTTTGTTCTTTACTGTAGTTTCAACCAATTTGCCTGGTACTGAAGTCAGGCTTATCGGTCTGTAATTGCTGGTATCACTTCTAGAGTCCTTTTTAAAAATTGGCCTCACATTAGCTATCCTCCAGTCATTTGGTACAGAAAATGATTTAAATGATAGGTTACAAATTACAGCTGGTAATTCTGCAATTTCACATTTGAGTTCCTTCAGAACTCTTGGGTGAATACCATCTGGTCCTGGTGACTTATTACTGTTTAGTTTGTTAATTTGTTCCAAAACCTCCACTAATGACACCTCAATCTGGGACAGTTCCTCAGATTTGTCACCTAAAAAGAATGGTTCAGGTTTGGGAATTTCCTTCACATCCTCAGCCATGAAGACCGATGCAAAGAATTTGTTTAGTTTCTCCATGATGGCCTTCTCGTCCTTGAGTGCTCCTTTAGCATCTCGATCGTCCAGTGGGCTCACTGGTTATTTAGCAGGCTTCCTGTTTCTGACTTTTTTCAACTTAAAAAAAATTGCTATTACTTTTTGAGTCTTTGGCTAGCTGTTCTTCAAATTATTTTTTGGCCTTCTTTATTATATTTCTACACTTCATTTGCCAAAGTTTATGCTTTTTTCTAATTTCTCACTAGGATTTAACTTCCACTTTTTAAAGGATGCCTTTTTGTCTCTCACTTCTTCTTCACAATATTCCGGCAACAGTCATACCAGTGCCAAATATAGAAGTAAGAGCTTGCAATCTAGAGAAAAGACAGACAGAAGATGGGGGAAGGATAAATCACACAAGCAGAATGAACAATGTAATGGCGGCAAACATGTTAGTTCCACAATTTTGGGGGGGGGGTAGTAGGTGGGGTCAGAGTTACTTAAGAGGGATAAGCTAAATGGAAAGAAAAGGGAAGGGACGTTGAAGGAAAGGGGAATAAGCAGACAGTGTAGGAGAAAAGAGGGTTAGCTGAGAGGTTGGTTGGTCTTATGGTATGTTTCTGATCCCTTACTTCCTGAGTTACTCTAGGAATCAGGTTTCTGATGTGAATACTCACAGTTGCAAATTCAAAATTTACTTTGTGTATATTTATTTTCTGTGAATATTCAGTATCTACTTAAAATGTGCTATTTTCACAGGCATTCCTTTCAGTAAACATCTGCTAGAATATCTGTGGAAAGCAAATACAAAAGGCACACAGTTCATGGGAAATAAATAAATATATAGTTAAATCTTATTGCTGTGTTCACCTCCTAAGCCTGGGCTTCAACTAAACTTAGATTGACCTAGCTATGTTGCTGAGGTCTGTTAAAAATTTCATGCCCTGTGCGACATAGTAATGCTCAATATAATCCCCGTGGTAGATGCAGCAAGGACAATGGAAGAATTCCACTACCACCTCTCGAGAAGGTGGAGTTACTACAGCAATGGAAAAAACCTTCCATTGCTGTAGTAAGTGCCTAAACTACAGTGATGCAGCTGCAGTGCTTGTAGTGTAGACCTACCCCTAGTGTCACGGATTCTGAGTAAGCCATGCATTAGACCCTTTTTAGTCCCTCTTGAGTATGTCGGCCTCCGATGCCATGCCTGGCTTCTGGCACATCACTCGAGGTCAGGGGTAGGAAGAATCCAGCCCGTCTCACATTTCTGTCCGGCCCTCCAGGCTTTTTGGCATCTTAAAGTAGCATTGAATTGCCAGAAGGAACATATCATTTAGGAAAATAGGTTAATACAACAGAGTTGGCTGGCAACTCAGTCAGCCCCCCCAACCCTCCTTCCAGAGGCCATCATCTTTAAGGATCCTTAGATCCTTAGATTTTGGTCTGGGAGGAATGCACCCTGCCAGGCTAGCTGGAACCAGACATGGGATATCCCCAATTAGCTTCTCCAAGGAGTATTCTCTTTGTTATTTTTTTCCTTTCCTGTTGGTTTCTCCCTTAGCAGCCTCCTTTGATTTAACTCCTGGCAGTCAGGCAGGTTAACATCGAACAGAACCTGAGTGGCATTTCATATTTATAAAAAGTTATTATGCAAAGTTCCCTCACTCTCAAGATCTAGATACTTGTATTTCCTGAGGACGGAACCAGATGCTTCCTCGAGGCCAAATTCTAATGCTGCCAAATTCTTTTCCTTCACCTATGTGAAGAGTTTAATAAAGAGTGAATCTATAATAATAGAAACAGAAGAGAATTCTAAAATCACAGAGCTCTCTATTGGATTGAAAGGCAAATACAAAACAGAAACCTGTTTTGATGACAGGCTGTATTTTAACTAAATAGCAAGACTTAATGACCACTGTAACAGCTTGGGTTCAGAGTAAACTAAAGCCCACTGTATGATTAGCTCCTCTGTTTTTTGGATAGGGAAAGGGAGATTGAAAAGACAAGTATATAATCTTTTCAGAATTTAATTAAAATGGTTTAAAACAAGTTACCATTGCTACCACCATAATCCTTGGGGCAAAGAGAGACAAAACATAAGAAAACAGGAAAATAAAAACACAGGAATATGAAAGAAAAAGCTTTAAATAATTTGTTTCTAGTTGTCAACCTTTCCACTCCACACCTCAGCAAACTGATTTAGATGCATCTATCACAGATGCTGTGACACAATGCCACAGTATTGAGGGAACTGGGTGAAGTCTGCTTTGATGTTCCTTTTTTTCCTTTGATTAAGTATTTATATTTACGGTAGTATCTAGAGGCTTCAATCAGAGATCATGACCCCATTGTGGTAGGCGCTGTATAGATACACAATGAAAACACTGCCCCTGCCCCAAATTATTTATAATCTGATTACGTAGAGTCCTTGTAGTTCATATAACACAAGTAGAGCTCTTTTAGCTAATAAAATGCTCTGGGATTTGTTGGTTTACCTAGCATCTTAGTTCAAGTTCAGGAGAGACATCCTGGTAGAATGTCTCAAATCTACAACCATGAAAGAATTTTATAAAGACTCTAGGTCCACAAACCTGTTTCGTTATTAAAATTAAAAGGAGAGCAAGAGTCTTCTTCCTTTTCACTTTGTCTAACAGCTCTAGAGGGAAATGTAAGCAAGAGAAAATTGAAGTCACCAATAACTAAGCTTTATATTCCTATTCCATACCCCTCTTTTCCAAACCTTAAATATTAGTGCTTTTATCTGAGAATTGCAAAGTATTTTATCAGCAGTAATTAAGCCTCAAAACACCACTGTCAGGTAAATATTACATTTATTTCAAACAGAGATTAGGCTACACACAGCAAATAAATACAAGAGCCAAGACTAGAAGCCAGGATATTTGAGAGACTGTTATGTTTTCTAACCAATAGACCATACTTCCTCTTCAAATAAATAATGTATGGTATGTGGGGCACATCCTCCTTTCTCAAAACCTGGCCTGGTTGCACTAGATTAGGGCTGGTCTACATGGGGAAATTATCAAAATAGCTTTTGTGGAATAAACTATTTCAGAATAGCTTCCTGCGTGGACACCCTATTCTAGAATAAAAATAAGAAGAATTAGTGCTCTTCCAAAGCAGAGTAATTATTCTGAAATAAAATCACTTTTATTCCGGAGTAGTGTGCACAGAGAGAGCTATTCCAGAATAGCTATGCTGGGTAGCTTAATCTGCAATACCTCCTCCTGTCAATTTCTTCATGTACACAAGCTCATAGAGTAGCTTTGCAAAACTGCACCAGAAGGAGGCAGGCTTGCAAATCTATTTCTCTGCCAGACCCCCAGATGCTTCACCAAATAGCCTGAAGAATTCAGTGGGGGCAAAAAGTCCTCATGTAGCACAATAACCTTTCCATTCCCCTTCAGGTCACAGTGCTTATCTGGCTTTATGTTTGCTCCTAGAGCTGGAGCTGCTGCCAAGATCTGCCATGTAGAGAGCTATGACTGGGAGAAGAGGAACTAAATTGCAGTATGTTTTGGGACTTCAGAGAAGGAAGGTAAGAGGGGAACTGGGTGGATGATTGTACTGCTGAAGGGTAGAAGTCTGACTGGGGGGAGAAGGATAAATGGTGGATAACTGAGTCTGTTTTGCCTTATTCTTTTTGGAATACAGCACATGTTCCCATTTGATTTAGGTACAGAACCTGGAAAATTTGAGCTCCACTGCTACAGTGAACCAGTTCTGCCCTTACATTGTCTGGTGTTGAATTTTCTCTCTTTTACTTTTCCTGTTCTTCATTACAGATAAGTTCAAATCAAAGCACCATCCCTGAATACTTCCAAACTTTGGGAAAATCTGGGTCTGTATCCAAACTTTATGACTCAGGGCCATTTCTGGTCTCTGTGTTGTCAATTCTTGTGATTTTTTTTAATTGAGAGTCTGGTGACATTTGATATATTTCTCACATCCTCAGTACATAGAATCCAGTCATTAAATGAAAGCTGAGATCTTGCGTAAAACAAACAAACAAAAACAGAAAAAAGAAGAACAAGAGTACTTGTGGCACCTTAGAGACTAACAAATTTATTAGAGCATAAGCTTTCGTGGACTACAGCCCACTTCTTCGGATGCATATCAAGATGCATAAGAAGAAGTGGGCTGTAGTCCACGAAAGCTTATGCTCTAATAAATTTGTTAGTCTCTAAGGTGCCACAAGTACTCCTGTTCTTCTTTTTGCGGATACAGACTAACACGGCTGCTACTCTGAAACCTGTCAAAAAAAACAGAAAAGTTTCTAGTCATCTGGGCTATGGAGAAAAGCTTGAAAACATGACTGGACTGCACCCAAATGGTTCAGAAACCAGAAGGCAGATAAAAGGAACACTTATTTTTTAAAGTCTCATGATTTTTGGTGCCTAACTAATGATTTCTGAAACTTGGGGATGACAATATCCAGTAGGATCCTAGCATGAAAAAATAGTGCGTCTTAAATTCATCTTCTACTATTTATTCCAAAGTGTGACATTGCATTTGGGTCCTGATGCTGCTCTGAATGACTCTAGTGGTGCAGAAGCAGGCCCTTGGCTATATTGGGGCTGATGTTACAAATAGAGGACTAGCACCTACCTTAGGCAAACAGGAGCAAAACCAGACAAGCTGTAAAACAAAAATCAGTTTTTTCTTAATGGAAGAAAAATTCATAATATCTAAGCCATTGCTATGCAGAATCGTTTCTAAATATATTTTGGAGTAGGGTCCAGATGTTCTTTACATTTGGAAAAGCTAGTGCAGACATACTGAAGCTGAAGCCCATTTAAGGGCTGGTGTACACTAGGAAATTAGGTCAGTATAACTACATTGCTCAGGGATGTGAAAAGTCTACACTTCTGAGTGATGCAGTTAAACCAACCTAAACCCTGGTGTAGACAGCACTAGGTCAACAGGAGAATGAGCCCATCAACCTAGCTACTGTCTCTCGGGAAGGTGGATTACCTAGCGTCTTCACTGAAGTGCTGCAGTGGCACAGTTGCACCATTTTAAGTGTAGACAGGCCCTTAAATGTAGTATTATATGCACACTTCAGTTCCTTTCCTGTTTTTCCTTCATTTTTATATTTTTCCAAGTTATTCAGTCCTTAGTTATTCAGCTGGGATTAGCTCTTTTAGAAGCAGTGCTTCCTAATTGTCTCTCTTTGCCCTATGTACTCAAAACAAAATTTTACTACCCAGTAAAAATCCATAAGGCAATCACAGAACCTTCATAACAGAAAGGTGAATGGCTCGGTTAACAATATGCTGTCATATTGTTAGAAATTACCCAGTCTGACCAGCCGGATTAATCATCTCCAACCCAGTGTCTCTGTTTCCAATACGTAGACTGGTAGATTCTAGTGCTTAGTGCAGATTACCACACAGTTGTACTCTTGTGTAGAAAGGCTGATTTGATTACATTTTCTGCCACAAACTGAGGCTATGTCTACATTTCACCACAATGAGGACTATCAGGGTGTGAACGGCAGAGAGCACCGAAATGTTGTGCTCTAACTGGCCCATGGGGATACTGCTGACTCGAACTAAAGGGTACCTAATTTGAATTAAAAGAGACTCAGAAATAGTTCTTAATAGTAAAAAATTGAGTGGTGTAATGGGGCTTTTTATGCCAGTTATACACATTTAAAGACTTAACTTCACAGTGCACATTCATCCATTCTATAGAAAGAGAATTACGTTTCTTAGACTTTCTTTTCTTGTATGCAGAGTCCTCCTACAAGACTCAAAATCAATATTCCCTTGTGCAAATGTGGGCCTTTTGATTCATGCCACTAACAAGTTATTGGCAGTTAACACTGCAATTTTCAGCAAAAAACGTTTGCCTGGGTTCAGTAAGTGCTCTACTGCTAAATGTATTGCATCTAGGAAATGACAGTTTTGGTGTTCTTAAAAAGGAAGAATGAAAACCATGACCTTTTCAGCAATTTCAGAAAGTCAAGTGTTGGGAGTTTAAATGGGCTGTTCTGTGCTATATCAACCCTTTCACTGCTGTTTGGTGCCATATCACTGATGCAAGTCAACAGAAATAAGGCAAAAATGTGGACAGGATGGCTCTGAAATGAAACCTAGAACCTTTTTTTCACCAATGTAAATCAGTCCCAGGTAGGAGGTAATTACTAAAAGGTGCTCAGCTGCTGTGATGTTAAGTACGGTATAAGAACCAATCCAGCACAGAATTACATGACGGCTGTGTGATGGGCTGTGTGAAATGTGCTGGGTGATCTCAGTGCAGTTTTGTATGGACAGGCATTCCCATCTACAAATCGCTACCATTGACACCCCTGCTGGAGGTAACAGCAAAAAAGGCACCGAACATGGAGTTAAACTTCTTCCTCAACTTTGGAGAATGCTTCTGAATAGGTCTGAGGCATATGGTCAGGGTAGTTCTTTCTGCTGTTGCCTGTGCTGGACCTGTTCAATGGTGAAACAGACCTTTAGTTTCCAGCAGCACAAGACATGTCAGCCTCTAACAAGCATTAAAATTCACTTTAACATGAGAAAAAACTTTGCATAATATGTAAAATTAAGCATTTTAAAAGTAGTTTAAAATCCCAGTTCTACACAGGAAAAGTGACTGTTAAAATGGCAGCTTCTTAACTCAAACAGACCAGCTCCCACCAGGCCTATTTCTCTGCTCACTTACTTCAGCTTTACACTCCGCTGATGTCAATCTCCCAATTTAAACTGTTCTAAGGCAGAGGAAGGTAAACCATGTGCATATCTAGTGTCACCTAGGCCACTTCGAGAACAAACAAATATTTACTATTTTTATGCTGGTCTGCTTAGCTCCACAGAACCACAAGCTCTGGGAGAGTGAGTGGTATTCCTTTCTGGCTCATGCATCATCTAAGAATTTGTAAATAAGTTTTACTTCCCCTTCTTCCAATGCAAATATTTCAATTGCTTTAGCTTTTAATGTTCTTTTTCCCTAACCCCACCTTACTGCTCTTATCTTAAACATTACTCGGCTGTTGACACCTGCCTCCACTCTCACAGTGATGCCAGCCTTTATTGTCCATTAGTTCAACGTTCCCTCAAAATCCTTTGTGTTTTCTCCCATCTCACCCCTTTATGTCTGGGAAGAGCGCCAAGTAAAAAAACTGCAAAGTCACTATATTATCCTCCTTCAGATCTTTCCTTAAAACCTTGCAGGGTTTGGGCAATCTACGTTTCTCTTAAAGTTCCGGGTTCAAAAGCACTCAGTTTCAAAACAAAACTCAACAAAATATCAACTTTTTCCTGGCTTCAGGTTTCAAGACATGCAAAACTACTATCACATGACACCAGGACCTGCAGCCATTTGCACATGAATAGTCCTATTGACTTTAGTGGGACAACTCATGTGAGCCAAGGTACTCCCACACATAAGTGGTTAGGAAGATCAGGCTCATTCTTCCCACTGGAGACTATAAATGGCTTTCAGACACTCAAAACTCTATTACAGTTTGTTTAAACCTGGTCTGAGTTTTCAACTTGTAAGGAAACATGCTTGGCTAAATTTCAGGGATTCTTGCTCATATGGTCAAAATTCAACTCTCTGCAATACACCCCAATAGCCTCATTAGCAAAAAGAAGGGAAAATAAATGATCAGGGGCCAATGATGAGATAAAAATGTTAGAGTATATTTTTTCTCACACTGGAATAGGACATGAACGTATTGATAAGATCCATTGTTTGTTTCACATTTCAATTTACCTAGATTAATACAAAAGCCACACAGACAATTTGTAGGTTTTAATGGGTTTTTAGTTTTTAGAGCTTGTTAATAAATGGGCCTAAATCAAAACCTCAGAGCCAAACATCCCCAAAATATGAACCTGGATCTGAGTTTTGTGCCTGTATCATGAGTTAAACCAAAACCCTGTCAGCTTCAAACTTTGAAGTGTTAAAAATTCAGATCCAGCTCTGAATTTTGTGGCTCTGGACTCTCTGTAATGAAAGTGGTATATAGTTGCTAAGAGCAAGGTACTACCAGAAAAGTGTACATGTCTTTGCCAATAAGTGAAATATTCTGTAGTGTGTTTATAGAGTCTTCTGATATCCAAGATATAAACTCTTTTTTTCAGGCTTTATGCAGGGGCTCCCGTGCAGCACATCTCTGGAATAGGACTCCTTAGTGGGTAGTGCCTCTATATAGAGCAGATCAGGATATAAATATATATATATATATATATATATATATATATATATATATACACACTACACACACACACACA